GCGGGAGAATGGATGGTCATAGAGAGAATGATAAAAAATGGATGGTCAGTTAGATTATCCATTAAGGGCGTAATAGCGATTTCACGTATTTTTGGAGAAATCATGTGCACTTTATTTCTATTTTCTTACCGTTGAAGTGTAAGTTGAAGTGTACCCATGTTACATCTCATATTTCCTTTCTTTATAATATATTTCATTGTGATAGATTTTCAGATACCCAAACGGCCTCTTAGTGGCTACGAAACATTCCAACCTCGTTGTAAGTATACATTTATAATTATAGAATCATATTTTATCCATTTTCAAGTGGTTGCTCTTCTTTTGAAAAAGGGTTGGTTGATTGGATCTCTAATGCAAGATCGGATCAACTTTGGATCGGAATTTGATTGGATCGTGATCTACCTATTCTCAAATAACTCGTGAAAAATGGTTCACTTATCTCATGTGAGGTCGGTCCGGAATCCAATTGTACATACATGGTGATCCTTTATAAATAGTAGGTCAAGAAGAAAGTAGGACCTGTTGTGATAATGAAACCAAGGTTTAGAAAAAAAAAATGGTGATTCAGATCAGAACCAGTTAGGCTGAATTGGACCCCATTAAACATCGAGAACAATTGGACCCCATTAAACATCGAGAACAGGTTGTTTCTCTCATGAACTAACTGGTTTTCTGACAAAACTAGGCTCTACTTTTATCTTTTAACTTTTCAATTTTTTATTGGGCAGTTCACTTTGACAAAACTAGCACCGAACCAAACCAGTTTTCTAGATGCACGATTTGGGTGCTGGTCCATTTTTTAAACCTTAGTTAAAACTGGCAAACCCACCTCATAAAACCCATCAAAGCGATGGCATGACCATTTTCTCTTGCAAGCCAAAATAGCTGAGAAATTCTCGCTCAGAATTTCAAAGAAGATCCAAATGAGAAAGGAAAGTGCACAATAAAATAAATCACTGAATTCGTAATCTCTCACTTCACACTTGTAATGTCAAATAGGAAACCCACGGCATGGATCACAATTTGAAGATCACTTAAGAAAGACTTCCCTCAAAGTTCCAAAACACTTTAAGAATAACTGAAAGTTGAGAGTGAATTAAGCAAGAAGGGAGAGTTTCAGAGAGGCAAAAAATAGAGAAGAAAGAAAAACCAAGCACCTTTTTATTTTCAAAAGAGAAATCAAGTAGTTTTTATGTTTTGTGCATTGAGGAGAGGGGAATTCTGGTTATAAATGCCACCATAAAGTTATTTGGGGATGATATTGTCAGGCCCCTTTTTCCTAAACCTCATGTGGCGTAGGCTGCCGGCACATATGGCGTAGGCAGCCTAATGCATGCAATGCAGGGTGGATGGTGCATGTGGTGCAGGCCGACTAGTGCAGCTTGATGCATTTGGTGCACACCAAGGGGTGGGTTGGCAACCTCTTGGCGCATCAAGCAGCACATATGTTACTTCAGCCGGATTAGTTACAACTCTCGAAAGTCACCTTATATAAACTTTTTTTTTGGGAATAATCCCACTTATCTAGTGCATAAATTAGTTAAAATAAATAAAATAATTAAAAAAAAATGATAATATAAGATAGTAGACGTCCTTTCCTTAACAAAATTTTCAACATTAATTATTTTTAAAACAAGCAATGTTAATTTAAAAGAAAAAGTTTATATAAGTGCGAAGCTTTAAACAATCAAATTAGAGCGCACCTCAAAAATTTCATTAGAAGAGCTTGTTTTGATGTCCAAATATCCTCCAATTGATCATCTCGACCTCAAGATACATGGACATGAGAAAAAAATTGATTTCAAATTTTGGAAATAAGGCATCTTAAAATGCAATGTTTCGCTGGCAATTTTCAAGATTTCCAAGTTTACATAGATCTGCTCGATCTACGCTATTTTTGAAGCTTATAAAAGATGAAAATATATTTTAAGGCGATCACAAAAATTTTCAGTATTGAAACCACATTTCTCGACACTATTTGAAAGTGCGCTTTACTTTTATTGTTTAAAATTACAAAAATTTTATCGATGTTATAGAAATATCACTTACTAAAAGTAGTTGAAAGATCACAGTGACAAAAAGGTTAACAGTGGAATGAGAAATTCTAGTTAAGAACATAACTAATTGCCTTAAGTTTTAGAATCCAACTAGCTAGTCAAAATAAATACGGATGAAATGAATTTGATGAGAGAAATAAGACAGAAAGAAGGAAGACCCCACATCCAATCTGAAAATAGAAACCAAACCATAAAGTCAGAATTACTTTCCCTTTTCTTTCCATTGAAGTGATTGACCCAGTGTTTAAAAAAACGCCGAGTCGAACCAGACTCGCTCGGGTTCTACTCGAGAATCGCCATGGACGGATTGAATCGGCGAAAAAAACGGGAATCGTCCGGTTCTAGAGAGAATCGTCCGGTTCTAGAGAGAACCGGACGATTCTGTACAGTGACTCGCCGATTCACTGTGGTGAGTCCCGTACGGATTTTTTTTTTTTTTTTTTGTGTGTAATCCATGATCGATTTTTTTGTAATACTTGATCGATTTTTTTGTAATCCATGATCGAATTTGTTTTTTTTTTTTGTAATCCATGATCGAATTTTTTGTTTTTGTTTTTTTTTTGTAACCCATGATAGAATTTTTTGTAATCCATGATCGAATTTTTTGTAATCCATGATCGAAATGTTTGTTTTTTTTCTTGTAATCCATGATCAAATTTTTTG